AGAGAGAGAGAGAGAGAGAGAGAGAGAGAGAGAGAGAGAGAGAGAGAATGAAAAAGCATCCACAGAACAAACATCCATCTTTACCTTTGAGTCTCCAGTTCCATCTCTCTTCATAATGCTCAAGTTACTCCACTTCTTTTTCTCTCCCTTCAGTCTACCACATATTTGCATATTGTGATTGTTTTGACTGCAGGCTTGCCAAATGGTTGGAGGGCCCCTGAGTGATATCCTCCTTCTTTGCTGCATGGTAAGTCAGCATATGGGGTGTCTATGTCATGCACATGTATGTCATGCACAGGAGAGCAAGTCTGTGGGTGTCATGGCAGGACAGAAGTCTCTGTTCTTCCTCCCAGGCTATGCTACCTGGATTTGATTTGATTTGGTTTGGTTTTTATGTGTCCTAGGCATAAAACAACTTAGTCCACCAAGCAAGGAATAAAGCTAGAATGAACTGCTATCTTCACTGCCCCTGACTAATAAAAGAACACCACCACCAACAAGGTGTCTCTTTGCCCATTTCCAATGGGATAGAGTATTTTTTTAACTCCATACAAAACAGAGTATTTCACATTGCAATTAACAACCAGAATTGATAGTCTACCTGGAAGAATGTTATATGCTCTCCAGTGTCTGAGAAGTATAAGAACTCCAATTAGATTTCATTAATCTATTAGGGTATTGTTTTGTGTACTATGTATTCAGAGGCTGCTTACTGTGCTCAGATAACTGTTTGCAATCTAGTTGCTGGCATTGTCAAGAATCTCATGTCTTAGTATTGTGTGCAATTTTTTTCTATCACCTCTGATTGTTTAATAAAGAGCTGATTCAGCAAATATCTGGGCAGTAGAGAAGGGGGCAGTACTTCAAGCCACAGGTGTGGGGTGTCTGGTGGAGACCAAGTAGAGAGATTCATCATGAAGCATTCACCGTGAGCAGGTTGCCAGGGTGGTACCTATCAGTATCACCATGAGAACACTGATAGAATAGGAGTAGCCATGGCAAGACTAAGATGGCAAGTAATGGGGCATAAGGCTGGGAAGTAGGCCAGGCCAGCATAATCAAGTTAGAAAAGCTACGGACATTCCCACCTTTGTGCCAGAAACTTGTACTAAATATACCAGGTCTCCATGTCATTTATTTGGGAGATAAAAGAAGCAATAAAAAAGCACCCCAAATCAAAATATTTTTCTCTCAAACAAGAAGACCTCTCAATGGGCTGTGTGTTTGTGGTGCATGCCTTTAATTCCAGTACTTGGGAGGTTGGGGCAGGCAGATCTCTGAGTTCAAGGCCAGCCTGGTCTGTATAGCTAGTTTCAGGATAGGCAAGACTCTGCACCCATGTCCCACAGAAAGACACAACTAGGATAATAGACCTGACTTACTTCTACCCATTGAATCAAAGATCTACAAATTCTGCCTATGAAAGAAATATTGCCATATGTTGTTTGATAGTAATAATAAATTCAACCACATGTATCGATTTGGAGTGCATTTTTGCAGATTACTAAAATATCATCTCATAGTGCTTTAATGTTTCCGTGAGTCTTCAAATCTTCAAAGTATAATTCTGTAATTTGATCAAGTTATCTACTTCAAAGTAGTAAGGGAACATAGTAATATCAGAAGATTCAATCACCTAGAAACTATCATTATGTGCATTTTTGGAGTGAGTTATTTAATCATTAGCAATGTTATACAGACTTACATCAGTGGAGATAAGAAATACTGGAAAGCACAGATTGTAGCTTTGAAAGAGATATTGCATACACAAATGAAAACAATCTATATACAGAATGTCTTCCCAATAAGAATGATATGCTGTGTTTTCCTTTATGAAAATGGTTGCCAGGTGGTGGTAGTGCACACCTTTAATCCCAGCACTTGGGAGGCAGAAGCAGGCGGATTTCTGAGTTCGAGGCCAGCCTGGTCTACAGAGTGAGTTCCAGAACAGCTAGGGCTACAAAGAGAAACCCTGTGTCTAAAAACCAAAAAAAACCAACAGGTTTAATATAATTAATATAATATCAGGTTCTTGGCTACTCTTCCTGGAGAGTAGTTCCGTAGAAATGTTGTCTATTTCAGTATTTCTCAACCTGTGGCTCACAACCTCATCGGGAGTCTAAAACTGTTTTCACAGAAGTTGCATACCAAATATACTGCAGTGTTTTAATGTTGTGATTAATATCAGGAGCTAAATTGCAGTTAAGAAGTAGCAGTGAGAATAAATTTGTAGTGGTCAGCATAACATGAGGAACTGTTCAAAAAGCTTACAGCATTAGGAAGGTTGAGAACCACTAGTCTATACCGTTTCATATGAGACTCTGTGTAGTTGGTATTCTTGGATGTTTCTGAATTGAGAACCTTGTGTTTAGTTCATCCACACCTGCATATCTCCATAGTGGTCTTTTGATTATATTCTCAAAGAGTGAAGACAAAAACATATGAAGAAAGAGACTGTATTATATACACAGAACAAGACACTCTATCCACACAATTACTAAAATAATCATTTTGAAGGCATCCCTTGGTGAGTATTTGCATCAAATATTCTTTGTGCAGAAAGGACCATTCAAATTTCTTTTTCTCAATTCATACATTAGGTGCATATTCTGCATACCTGATCAAGTCAGATTATTGGTCATAATTTCTGATTCATTACATTTTTCAGAATTGCAAATCCCCCCAAAAATCAAGCAAACAAATAAACAGGTTTATCATTCATTGAGTGTTCTTCTGAGATTTCTGTTCACTTTTCTTGTGGGTAGAAAATTTATCTTGAAATTAATCTAGTTTCTATTGTCATTCTGTCAATTTACCCATAACTCTGAATTAATTGGTGTACCACAATACCACTTTTGCTCATGATATAGAGAAAACATAACTTTTGTGTGTATGTTAAGAGTTCTAGGGTGTAAACCACCAACCACAGAGTACATGGGGAACCTATGGCTCCAGCTGGATATGTAGCATAGGATTGCCTTAACTGGTATCAATCGGAGGGGAGCCCCTTGGTCCTGAGGAGTCTGGATGACACAGTGTAGGGAATGCTAGGGCACTGAGGCAGGAATGGGTGCGCTGGTGGGGCAGCACCAACATTGAGATAGGGAAGGGGGAAGGGTTAGGCAGTTTGTGGAGAGGAAAACTGGAAGGGGGATAACATTTGAAACATAAATAAATAAAATAATCAATAAAAATATGGAAAAATAAATTGCAAATACTGAAAAATTCTTAAAAAATAAAAATTAAAATAAATAAACAAAAAAAGTGGCCACTAATGTGAGATCTCAGATGGAGCTGCCTTAGGCAGTTTGCTTAGAACCACAACTAAAGCTGAGAGCAGTTTTGGGTTGTGAATAAAAAGAGAAGGTTACTGAGCAACTAAAGTTGAGGTCAGATTTAGTGTGCTAAGCTAAGAGTAACGGGAAGGGCAAACTAGCTGCAGAAGCTTAGAGATGCCCAGCAATTGAAGCGATAAAGCAGGTTGATAATGAAATGTGTGTGTGTGTGTGTGTGTGTGTGTGTGTGTGTATGTGTGTGTGTGTGTGTGTTTGTGTGTGTGTGTGTGTGTGTTTTCAATCTGCAGATTCTAGGGAACCAGGGCAGGGCTGGTAGTGTTATCTACCCATCTACCCAGAGAATAAAATGGAGTTCCTAAGGCTGCACACGACAAATGAGTTTACTCATAAGTTGTTTGTATCTCCTGACAGGATAAAAAAATGAATCTAGAAATCATTTCTGTTCAGAGATGCCATATCAATATTATTTTTGTCTGAAAGCACTTCATCCTCTTTCCACAAATCGTATATACATCATTGAGTATCCTTTTGATATTGTCTGAAAAAAAAAACCTATAAAAATGGTGTTTTTAACAAGTAATGCATATGTAAGAAAAAGTCACTTCTGCCAATTTTTCTGAGGTGATTTCATTTAGGTTTATCTAAATTACATAGAATATTCTCTCTTATTTAAGTTAATTTATTATGGCCTGACATTATTTACTCAACAATACTTTATAGCAGTAATTAGATTAATATTTTAATTCACGAACATTATAATTTGCTAAATTTTATATATAAAAATTCTCATAATATTGAGATCAATACACAGAAAACCCAACCATATCTCTGTTAATCCTTCTATATAAATGTCATCCTATTACTTAAGAACAGGCACTAAAATTTCCTAGATGCAACTATCACTCAGATTTTAACCAGTCTTTGGAAGCTAAAAGGGATATTTGAGAAAAATGTGGATCAGAGCATAATGATTCATATTTATATAACTGTTGAATGGTTTGATAAAATATTAACAATTAGTTCTAAATTTTATGAAATAAAACATGTTACCCATTCTATCATTTCTAAAATTATTAACATTTAATGCACTAATCTGTCTATGTGACTTTAACCAAATATTAAAAACAAAATAATATAGGGATCTATATCATCAAACTACATGAAAACAAAATCTGTTATTAAAACCAATATTATAAGCATATGTGTAAATATATCACAAGCAAAAATATTGGGTAAATGTCGGGCTGTAGAAGACACCCTGGGGTGTTTGGCCATGCCCCCCAGAACCCAGAGACCTAACATGCAGTCCTACCTCCATTTAACTTGCATGATAGTTCATGTAAGGCACAGGTAGAGGGCGTGACTAACAGACCTCTGCCTCGAGATTTACATATTAATGAATTACCTAAAGGCCGGGAGCATAGATAATTAAATTTTCATCTCCCTAACCCCTCCTTTTTCCCCCTCTCTCCAATATAATGGGGCCCCTCCTGGCATTTTGTGGGAGAGCACGCCATCCAGATACAACCATCAACATGACCAATAAAACTTCCATATCTTCGATTCCACGTGTCTCCTGGAACTTTGGACCCTCTTGTGTAAGTGGGAAACTCGCCAGCGGGAAAGCCTCTCATTCCTCTCCTTGTTGCAGCCATTCGCGGGGCTCTCTCCCTAGCAGCAGTGGCCTGTGCATCCGCACCTTTGCGGGCTGCCTCTGTCCCTGTTCCCGGGAGTCCCTACGCCCCTGCTCCCAGGACCCTATGGCACTGGCGAGATCGAACTATCAGCTGGGAGTGCTGCTGAGTCCCGCGGGCCCCTGACAGAGCCGCGGCTCTGAGGACTGCCTCAGCCGGCTGAGGGGAGCAGGTGCAACCTGCCCGTGTCCCGCACTAGTCTTAAACCACAGGTAAAAGGGGTATCTCAGATGTAGAAATATGGGTGCCCCTTTTAAGTTAATAAGCATATTTTAGCTTGTATATTTTATTTCTGTAGATACATATACCTTCAGGTATATGAAAGAAGCAAAAGGGAGATACAGGAACAAGGGTAGGAAAAGTAACAGAATATATGTTTCATGAAAGTGGAACAAGAACCGTGGATGTAAGTCTTTAAGCAGGAAAGGGAGGGACAAGAGAGGAGCAGACTGAACACAAAGTATTCATGAAAATGTCTGATAAATATATGGTAACCCTTTCTCCTTGTCTCTCCCCACTCCCTCTCTCCTTTCTTATC